GAGAGAGAGAGAGAGAGAGAGAGAGAGAGAGAGAGAGAGAGAGAGAGAGAGAGAGAGAGAGAGAGAGAGAGAGAGAGAGAGATGCCATAATAGGATAAGAGGTCAATACCTGTGAGAGGAAGGGAATGGGTCCTAGTAATCTGCATATGTTCGTAAGCGCCTCTTCTACATTGTAGCGGAAATCAACTAAACCATCAGGAAGGCTAACTTTCCCGTTGCCAGCCTTGCAATCTTCTGGATCGTCAATCTGTCACACAGGGAATATCGACAAAAACAAAGAGAGGGAGGTCAATACCTGTGAGAGGAAGGGAATGGGTCCTAGCAATCTGCATATGCTCATAACTGCCTCTTCTGCGTTGTCGCGCAAATCAACTAAGCCATCAGGAAAGCTAGCTTCCCCATTGCCAGCCTTGCAATATTCTGGATCGTCAATCTGTCACATGAGGAATATTGACAAAAAACAAAGCGACCAACAGGTCACAAGGATAATACCAACGACACCACAAAATTCGTGCTGCTCAGTTACACCATATCCATCAGAGAGGGACAAAGAAAACTAGCCCATAACAAAATACTCCCATTCACATTCTGAAATACTGCGAGGAACCAAAAACCTATGAAACTGTCAAATTGAACATTGCCTCAAGGCCGTCGCGCTATCAGAGGTTGGCGGTTGGATTCCACGGAGATTGGTTTAAAGAGTACAGAACAGTAAAGTAACCAAACATGAAATGACAGCACAAAGCTGACCAATCTCGTTACCACGAAAAAATTCTCTCTCCAATTCTAGGCACATCAGAATGCACCTGGCCATCCTGCATTTCATCGTGGGACATGATGATGCTCTGAGCTTCCTGGCGCCTATAAATTCTAACAGTTTACCACTGGTAATCTGCCCTGTATTCAAAGACATGATTCCACATGTACAGAGAAGGAACGATTATCATGAACTTGATATTGATGTGGCAAAGACTGCAAAGCTGGTCCCCTACAAACAGGGAGCCATAACAAACAGGTGGTCAAGGCCTCCAAATAGCTCCACTGAAAAGCAGGGTGCAAGCATCACTGCAACCAGACTCGCTATCTTTCACACTTCACACACGCAGCAAACTGGCGACGAGCGCCCACTCAAAACTCGGAGATATGGGAACAAGAACACAGTTCAGATACAACTCGCTTCAGATGGCTATGGCGACTCAGCGCCTGTACAAGTCTCTGTTCGTCACTCACTCGTCGCGATACAACTCGCTTCAGATGGCTATGGCGACTCAGCGCCTGTACAAATCTCTGTTAGTCACTCACTCGTCGCTGCTTATCTCACACAGGATCACCCTGGATATCCCACACGCATACACTTCACACTCACACACTGAAATCTATCTACAGCTATGGCCGCTATGGCCGCTGCTAACCTATCGCTATGGCTAAGCTCCTTCCCTCTGCCACTTCGTCTTCGGGCTCACTGCAGACCACCTTACACAAGTCGCTGTAGCAGTGCTTCCGCATGGCTCACGCAGGAATGAATGAATGGCTAGGCGCTGCCCCTTGATTTATACTTCTGCAGCTCATTGGTCTGGCCCTTTCCCATGCCCGTAGTGCCCACAGTCCCATGCGGTACTTGCTGGACTGGACTAGGACTGACTGGGACTGGGACTGCTGACTCAGCACAGGTAGACTCCACCACTTGCCCACTTGCCTCAGCCTAAACGTGGGCAACTTCGAAAGGCCACAGCTAGGACCTTCCGGAAGGCCGTGGACTTGGCCTTTCGCTACTGTAGCAGCTACGACCTTGACCTTTCAGGACTGTAGCAGCTACGACCTTGACTCTTCGGAAGCTCTACAGCTTCGACTTCTAGAACTCCCTAGGACTTCTACTCGACAGGTCTACAGATCGAACCCCTGCTACCTATGGACCCTACGACAGTCTACCAACTGTTACAAATACACAGGTCACGGGTTCAACTCTCGGGGTCGACACAGATACTGTACACAGGTAAGGTGAGGACTAGGGATCGAGCCCTGGGATCTGCGTCGGCTACTGCGAACTGGTGAATACCGTTTCATCACATAAAACTGGAACTTAAATATGCCGGCTGAGAGGTGTGCAGCTATTTCATATCTGTCCTTGTGAAAACTGTGAACAGAGAGCACAATCATGCCAGCTGTTCAGCGCACAGGGATAAAGTAAGTGACCCATTCATTACACTTGCTGAATGCCTAATTGCAATGATCCACCTTTCGGCAGATCATGATCCACTTGCAAGAGCAAGATCCACACGATATGAGCAAACACAGAACTTACTTGAAATGATACACACAGGTTCCTAAAGGTCAAACCTGTGGCCGCCATCGACAACGACGATCAGGTAAGTTTCTCTCTCTCTCTCTCTCTCTCTCTCTCTCTCTCTCTCTCTCTCTCTCTCTCTCTCTCTCTCTCTCTCTCTCTCTCTCTCTCTCTCTCCATACCATTACTACTACAATTAACAAATGCACTCAGGTTCTGCGATCACTCTCTGAATGTCCTCACTGGCATCTCTCTCTCTCTCTCTCTCTCTCATGTGTGCACGCAACTATGGAAGCTCACAGCTATGATGCTCAGCGCCGTTGACTACTCCTCTTGCACAGCACTGTTCGCGTTCCAAGATCTTGGCGCCCGGCAACGCAGCAGAGATTAATCGCCTGCCAGAACCGAAGAAGAGAAGGTTCCTGACGTTGGCCTATCTTCTCGGCCTGTGCCTCTGCCTTCCACGTGATTCCGGGCTCTTCCTCCCAGGCCCTGCTGCGGCGGATAAGGATCCAGTCTGTTGTGACTCTTCCCTGGGACTACAGTGCGATCGGGACTGGACACACGGCGACTCCCTACCTGCCGATTTCTAGCACCCTCTACTGTACCTACCAGTCTTATCCTCTCGGATCTCTACGTTGTCCTGTACAGTACCTACTGGAAAGGTCTACTTCGGCCCTACCGCACAAAAGAAAATGGGACACAGTACCGTGGTTGGACTGACGCAGCACGGGAATCCTTTCATGATAGGCTGATAAACTGGATAACTAGAGAGCTCAGAAGAGACGTGCACACGATTCTCACAGCCTCAGAACATTAGCTCCACTGGATAATGCATACTCAAGCACTTGACAGAGAACAGGTACATTTTATTGGCAGTGGGGCCCTTTCGAGTCTTTTCTATTGAGGTGAGAAAGAACATAACCCTGACTACGTAGTACCTGAAGACGAACCACAAGTCCATCCAGAAGTGACGTATACATTGGCTTGAAAGCTGCCATAGCCCGCTGCCTGTGCTCAGATGTGCTTGGAAGGCTGAGGATGTGAACAGCAATAGCAGACCTGCAATTTAAGAACAGCCAAAGGCATACAGCTACATGATGAGTAAAAGGCAAGCGAAAGGAGATCCTAGCACGACTTACACACACCCTAAACACTCTGGTGTTGCAAGGATGACAGTTTATTATGAGCATTGAGCAACAAGAGGAGAAAACTATTTTTATCCAAGAGGAAAACAATTTTATGATTTATCCAGCACAAACGAGATGCAAACTGACTTTTAATTGACAAACAGAACAGGGCCGTGCTGGTTACAGTGGCAACAGGCCAGGAACCTGTTCACTTGTTCTTATGGGTTCAGACACTAGAGGACCTGTTGTGGCTTCCCTGAAAAAGGAAGAACAGTACGGAAACCATGTACTTTACCTTTCTTTTCCCACCCCCTTTTAATCACATAACGCACTTGCATGTTTTCCTCCAATTGCTCTCTCTCTCTCTCTCTCTCTCTCTCTCTCTCTCTCTCTCTCTCTCTCTCTCTCTCTCTCTCTCTCTTGCGTGTGCGTGAGCATGCATGCAACATCAACCCCTGGCGTGTGCTTCCCCCACTCCCTGTCTCTCACGCCCTCCCCGCACCCCTACTAATCTCTGCCCAGCATGCAACACCTTCCCCTTCCCCCCATCCCTCCCTGCATTGCCCCTCTAAATTTAATTCGTGTCCTCCAAACTTCCCAGCTGTAGCCGCTTCTCCTCTTCCTCCTCCATCTCCCTTTCCTCACATATGTCATACCCTTCCTCTCCTATGTCCCAGACCTGACTTTTTCCCTACCTCCCTCTCCATGGGGTCCAAAACTGAAATTAGGGTTTGGGCCCTTTGGGGAAATTGGCGGTCAAATTTTATGTTTTTTTTTTTTTTTTTTTTTGCCTGTTTTTGTTACGGTTCAAGGTTGCCATGTGCCAGATTTGGTATCATTTGGAGCATTGGAATTTCCTCTGCTGAGATTTCTCAAATTTCTCAAGATTTCTGAAATTGGAATGTTGGCAAAATTCCTTGGAAGTGCACTTTTGCCTTGCTGTTTTATAGGTTTTTAAATATTTTTTTTTTGGTTAGTTTTTTTTGCAATTAGTTAGTATGGTCTCCACCCTATGAATTGATGGCATGACTCGGTCATTGCAATCTCAGCTTCGCCACCTCATCCTCTTCATTCCCGAAACCTCTACCATTAGAAAACCCTTCCTCCCCAATGTCCCCATACCCACGTATTCTCCCACTCCTTTGCCATTGCAATCCCGACTTTCCGCCAGCGCATCCTCATCTCTGGACTAGTGGACGACCCCTGCTTGTTATGATCTGGTTTCCTGCAGACCCGAATTCTTTTCCCCTCTTTCCTCATGTCATGCTGCGTTCCCCTTGCTCACCTCATACTCTTCTCTTCATGGTCAACATTGTGCGATGCTCATCCCCTCCCCCTCTTCATCCACTCAACGACATTGCGCCCTGCATTTTTCCTCCTCCCCAATGTTTCACCATGCTCCATCCCCTCTTGGCCCCTTCCCCGACATAGTACCGTGCTCCTCCCTAACATTGCAGCATGGTCCTTCCCTTCTTCGTGTCCTTTCCTGAAATTCTGCTGTGCTTAAGCACCGCTTTTGCCCTGCAAGTTTCATCACCTGAGTTCATGTTATGATCCCGCTCCTCCCCCTCAAACTCCACCCACACTGTCGCACTACCTCCCCCCTCCCTGCAGCTGTGAGCTGCTCGCAGAAGCACTCCCAGGATTTGAAGATAAGCCCACCACTGTTGGCGAGGCTACCTTCGTTGTGACCTTTTTGCCTCGGCACGTACGCGACGTGTGGCCATAATTGCCACAGTTCATGCAAGTGCCCCTAGCAACTCGGTCCCTCCACAATACTGCACCTTCTACTGCCCTTCCCTCCGCTCCTTTCCCCAATTCTCATGCATCCATATTCAACCCCCTTATCGTCCCACTGGATTCCTCGGCACCTTCCCCAACTTTTCTATTCCCCCTTTCCTGCCACCATAGCAGTCAGTACCCATCCTCTTTCTATCCAATCTTCACTCCCCCACAATGGTTATACCCGTCCTCCTTTCCTCCCCCCCCACAATGGTTATACCCGTCCTCCTTTCCTCCCATCCCCAATGGTTGTACCCGTTCTCCTTTCCTCCTCCCATCCCCACTCCCCCACAATGGCTATACCCATTCACCTACCAAACAATGGCTTTACCTGTACGCCTTTTCCTCAATTTGTAGTAATTTTGTACCCTTGCGTGTTACTACCACCTTGTTTCTTAGGACGCCAACTCTCCCTCACATTGGCATTGTAGCATAACTGGGCATCTTTGAGCTGCACATCGAAGCACGGGAATGCTACGGAGTCCGAAGGGTCCACGACATTTCATGGACCAAAACACTTGTTCAGAACCACAAAATGATTCAGAGTGGAACAGAACAGCTGCACATGTCGATATTATTGGATAACGCATCATGAGTCGTGACCTGAAGCGACCGACCTCGCTGAGCCTTTTTGGTCTTCATTTTTTTCTGAGTCATGACAGTCAAGATAGGATACTTTTAGAAGGGAAACAGAATGCATCATCTTTGCGAACGCAGCCATTTCCATGTATATGCACTCAAAGGCAGGTGTGATCTGTTACGACATCAGGACAGCGCAGGACAAGCATGTGCATGAATACAGATGAAAATAGTAACATCTGAGTGAGTTAGCACTAGAGAGGTCAACTGAAAACCTCGACTTGATGTGAAAGAAGCAGCGCAAACGACAAACAAGCAGGTGAGGCATCATCGACCAGTTGCACTCACCAAAACGGCAGTCCAGATTGAACAATCTCCCAATTAGACTTCCAGAGAATCACACACCTGCATGACAAAGAGCGCCATTAGACCTCTCTCTCTCTCTCTCTCTCTCTCTCTCTCTCTCTCTCTCTCTCTCTCTC